GACATTGTGTTTACCAGCTTAGAACAATTCCAAGCTCATTAAGGGGGTTTGACAGATATTAATGTTAATCATTCAGCATAATAATACAATGGCAGTGGGTAAAAATTCTGAAGTAATTACTAGCAAAAAACTGGAAGGCCCTTTTATGATAGTATTCTAAAAGCCTTTTACTTATTTCCATATTTAGGCAGAAAATCCTGGTAAGTCTTCCACTGCAGCGCTCTGTATCTCTACCTGCCAATTCTATTTCAGGCTACCATCGATCGGAGTCACTTCAAATCAACATCACTTGGTCTTCTCTCTCCCTGTGCTGCAGTTATCACTTACTATACACATGGCTTCTCTTTTCCTCTCCCCACATACTGAATAATCCACAGTAGCTGTCTGTCAGTGTTCAGAGGACAGCCCAAATCTACAGCTCATTAATTTAAGCTCACTGTCACCTGGCTTCACCTCACCTAGTCTGCTTTGCATTCCTGTTCTTAGCAGCCCGCTCTTGCTGTCAGCACTCTTTCTGATCGTCTCATTGTCCTTTATTCATTTTGCTTTATGTCTTTGAAGATTCCCTGATTTCACTCCCTTGTCCAGCGCTGTTGTTGTTGTTGTCATTGCAGTGCTAGGGATTGAACTCAGGACCTTCTCTATGTTAGGCAAGCACTCTACTACTGAGCTACTCTCCATCCTCTCTGTTTTAACCTTTTCTTACTCATTTATGTATGATAAAGTCACAAACTATTTGATAACAACTGAGCTGCCCTGCTGACAATAAAAGACAGTTATGGCATGACCAGAGAAAAATTCACTGTCACAAACAAATCATGGAAATCTTCTAACTGTCCTCTAGGACCTTTCTGGGATCCTCCTCTTAACTTTAGAACCAGGATCCTAATCTATTGATCTTTTTGCCTGCTTCCTCCTGACTTGTTGACATTGAATGACGTGTTTCCAGGGTTGAATCCCCATCTGTTTATGATTTGCATAACTTGTGACATCCCTGGGACCACTGCTTCATTTATCATCCCCCTATCCTCATGTCTGATCACCCACTTGCCAAAGATCAGGTGTGTCTACCTGGCGATTGGGAAAAGGGTCCTAGTATTTTACTCCTTATCCAGAGTGGAAAATCCGAACTGTGAGAACCAAGAAAGTTACTAAAAAGGCGTTTAATTTCAAAATCAATATCAGGCCTAGGGTAATGTGCAGATATAAAAATAGGAGGCAGAGCCCAAGGGTCTGTGACCTGGTGGGAAGAGACATGTGAAGCAAGGCAAGAGTGATTCAGGATTGTAAGCTCTAAGCAAAAGGGTTCTTCTCTGTCTTGTTCATCACTGTAACCTCAGCACCTTAAGAACCTTTGTAGGCACTCAATATCCAATTGTTGAATGAATGTCTTGGATGATTACTTAAGAAGATAAATTTTACTTAGATGTACCCAACTATGAATTTAGCATGATTTTGACATATAAACATCAGACAGAAAATTTTTCCAAACATAATCTGTCATTTTCATCTTAACAGAAGTCTAAATTTGATTTTGTAAAGTGAAAGATACCTACTTTACTTACTACAGACTTGGCATGATTGATATTTGGGGCCAGATAATTCTATATTATGGATCCATATTATTGAGCTATATTGTGTAATATTTAGTAGCATCTTTAGCCTCTACCTATTAGATGACAGTAGTCCCTTCTCACTCTTTTTGTGATAACCCAAAATGTCACAAGCCATTGCCAAGTGTCCAACAGGATGGGATGGAGTTTACTTTGATTGAGAACTACTGGTCTAAACCAATTCTCAGGTCCAATGTGGCAGTGCCTTTTATTGGAAAGAGGACTTTGATTCTCCATATACTTTCCAATTATACCGTATCCTTCTGACAGTAGATCAGGCAGTACTTCTTTTGTTACTGTCCTTTCTTCCCCTAATACTGGACCTATATTAAATTGTAGGCTCCCTAAGCACAATTGTGTTTTTTGTCGCTCTGACTTACTTCACAGAAGTAAGAATGAATGCTTAGTCCTATGTGAGCACTTAACACATGTTGACTAACTCTGTGAAATTCAGCTAGAAAGAATTTGTGTCTGCTTTCAACTGGAAACACAAATGCCACAAAAGCATTTTTCTTCTGTTTTTTTCATTGCTGTATTTCTACCACTTATAAGTGTACCAGATACTTAGTAGATGCTCAAAAAATATTTGGAGGACTAATGATATTGCCCTCTAAAAATGTTTAATGGTGTCACATTTCATTTCCTAAAGGATAATATAAGTCATTATATTGGGACTCAAAGCTCTCTTTGTCTAATCTTCTTCTTTGCCTCTCTGATGCACAATTCCACCTCTTTAGCCCAATCTTGTTCACTGATATATTCCCAAATAATCATGAACATCTTTGCCAATGCACATCTGCGTACTTCCTTTTCTCTGTTTGGAATATTCTTTCAAATTCTCTACTGATTCGAGTAAACACAATGCACATTTCAGAGATCAGCTTATTTCTTTTCTCTTAGAGAACATTTTTTGGTTTCAAGAACCCACAGGGTTTGTAACCTGAAGCCTGATATTTCCAGATCTGTCCCTTTCCCCAGACATTTTTATTCTATCATAAAGCAGAATTCAGAGGAAAATCAAGCTTTTTTTCCTTCCTAACCTTGAATAGCTCCTCCATATTCCTCTTCCCTGACACTGATAACCAACTATGTCCCTGTAAGCAGATTCCTGTAACATCCTACAATGGGTCTTCTTTCAAAGGATACAGATAAAGTGGACAACTATGATTCTGTAAACAGAATCTGGAGACATTCTTGAATCTGTCTTCTTTTAAGGTTAAGGTGTAAAACTATTACTGAGTAAATAACTGCCTTTGTCTCACTTCTGTAACTTTGCTTACACTCTTTTCCAGTTTCACAGCAAACCCCTTCAACAAAATGTATAGAAATAGAAGCCCTTCCTTTGTTCAGGGCTCAGCTCTTTTGAATACTTTTGAATAGTCTGTTGAGTCAGTGTACACCTAAAATAAATCCCCTTGTTTCTCCTGTAATCTCTCTGGACTCTAAAATTGTGCGGCAATAATGCATTCCACTTTATCACTTTGAGTTATTGTTTTTGTTTATGTATCTTACTGCCTCCGAGTAGAGTAGATTGTGAAAAAAAAGATTCATAGACTCAGTTAAATTGTTATTATTTTATTAATGTAGTTATTCAACTAATATTTTTGAGTGCCTACTCTGTGATAGGCATATGATAAGATCACTGGCTTTATAAGGTATTTAGTGTGGTGGAGAAAAATGGTATCTAATGTGGTAAGAACTAGATTTAGGGTTAGAAGACTTTACTCTGAATATTAACTCTATCACTAACTAGAGTGATAATTTAAGCTCTTACTGTCTCTGTGTTATCTGGAAAATGAGAATGAACACTTAATTCTATGTGCTGTTCATAAAAAGGTTAAGTAACCTGTGCAAACATTGCAAATGACAGAGTGAGGCCTTTAGTTTATCCATAAATTCTTTAACATTCTCCCCTTAAGAGGCAGAGCCCAAGTCTCCTCTTTTAGTATTTGACTGACCTGGTAATTTGCTTCCAAGGAATAAAATGGGGCAGAAGCGATAATGTGCAGTGAGGAGACTATCACTTCAAAAAGCATATGGCTTGTGCCTTAATCCCTTTGAATTACTTGGTCTTAGGAAAGCCAGCTCCTATACTGACACATCTTATCAATAGACCCATGTAGTAAGGAAGTAAGGTTTCCTACTAAGCATGCTTGAGTTTAGAAAGTAACTAACAAGGCATTCAGAAGGCTCAGCCAACAGATTGGCTTGACCTTGTTAAAGAATATGAATTTTTAAGCTGATCCTGGATTCCTGACCCCCATGTGAGACATACTTTATAAATCAAGTATCAAGATAGTTTTTCATGAATCCATAGATGAGTAACACAAAGCATGCTTTAGAGATTGAAGGTATTATTATTATTGAAGATGCTAATATTTGCTGATGGAAGAGTGCCATAATCCACTACAATTTATCACTGAATAATGAATGGAAGAAAATAAGCAAGAAGAAGAATGAGAAGAGGAGGAGGAAGAGGAAAGGGAAGAACAAGGGGAAGGGAGATGGGATGCAGACCATAAACATGATGAGCAACAAAAAAATTAGATTAAACGTTTTGTTGAGTGATTTGCAGGCATCTCTCACCTCTGCTTCCTTTTCCGAGGGGAATCTACCTGTGACAGTGACTGCAGGCTATATGCCAAGGGCTACTGGCTAAAGAGCTTGTTCATCCCTACTGACTGCTCATTTTAAATTCTATCTTCAGTTCTCATTTCCAGATAAAATTGATAGCTTTAATTATATAAGAAATGAAAGTCATATTTCTATTCAATGTAGAATATGAGTTTTTTTTTTTTAAAGAGAAAGTCACCCTGCTACTTTGTTATACACAAAGGCCATCAACAGGGAAATTTATGATTTGTTTGCAACAATGCCAACCTCTGAGACCCACGGTCATCCCTTTGCCGTAGCAACACTGACCCAGTGCCCTCCACTATTGACGACACCACAGATGGGAGGGCTAAATTTATAGTCCTCAACAGTCAGTCAGGTAGATTAATTTGAACCCAAATAAATTTAAATTTGAAACAATCTAACTACCTTTGGCCCACAGGATGCCATTTTGCGACCCATTTTCTGAGCTCCCTACTGAGATCATAATTATAAAAGAGGATTCCTAATTTATTAACCCATTAAAAGTATATACTAACCTACTTAATAATAAACAGAGAATTTAAATTTCTATCTAAATATTGATCTATTCCAATTTTCCCCACAGCTTCAAGTGAAGGATGAAGCTATATTAACTCTTCGAACCATGAGAACAATATTTAATAGGTTTATCTAAAATTTCATAGCAGGCTGGCTGAAATTTTTTTCTTTAGCCATCTGCTAGGTTAAAGGATTAATAAATGATGGGGAAAAATAGTGTGAAAGTATCCTTACTTGTAAGAGATTCGCTGTTGGTTGGAGAAGGTTGGGTGCCCAGGGTAGATGCTGTAACGCTGAATGCAGCCTCTGTGGGGAAATTCACTGAGCCTGAAAGGGAAGCCAAGACAGGGAAGTTAGGCAGGCGCGGCCCAGGTCCTGAACAGGTAATGGAAAGTAAACTAAAAGTGGAGGCCTAAGTTAGCATACCAAATCGGAGAGACAAAGAATAGGTCCTTAATCAAACTGGAGAGACTCTGGAGGAAGTGAAATACAAATGAAGTTGCTTTCCAGACAGCAAAGGACTACCTGCAGCCAGGAGAATCCCTGCTTTCTACCACATATATGGCCTCCAACCATCCAAGGCATCTGCCTTACAGAACACCCCTCTCCAACTAGTGGAGAGCCTTACTTTCAGTCTTTCTAATGAACATGTGTTCGGCCAGGCCATTCCCACTGTTTGCTGTTTGTGGTTTTATCAACTTTAATCTTCATTACCCCAACAGAGCTAGACAGATCCGGTTGCAAAGAGATCAGACAGATACTTACGACAAATGAAACAGGAAAACAAAGCGATGACTTAGTGCCTAAAAATATTTTACTTTAATTTAGTCATTACCTAACAAATATATTTGGAGGGGCTGTTACGGTCCAGGCAATGAGACTTAATGGGGAACAAGAAGAATGTGCAGCTGTCTTCGAAGAGCAAATATTCAAGAAAGAAGTTAGCAAGGCACTGTGTTGGCAAGGTGACACAGGATTGCAACCAAGATCCAAATTTCTACAAATGTTTCCTAAGGAAGGTGACATTTAACTCAAGACACAGGAAGCTTATGATAGCAATTAATATTTAAAATACTCAGGAAATAACCACGTGGTTAAAAAAACCTATAAATTTGTAAACTTTTAGCAAGAGCAGAAACAATAATACAATTATCTAATTAGATGTAATATCAGTAAATTTTATTATTTATCTATCAGTATTATTATTCATCAGTAAATTTATATTATTATTTTGATCCTTCTAACATTTTGGTTACAATTTTGTGTGTGTGTGTCTGGAAATAGAGACTAGGACATGTTCTTTTACTTATTTATATTATACATTCATTTCAATTATTTCAACTTGCACTATTGTGCTTTAAAATAAATACATTAAGGTATAAAACAATTTACAGGCCAGAGATTTAACTCAGTGGTACAAGCACCTGCCTGGCAAGCGCAAGTTCATGAGTTTGGTACTAAAAAAAAAAAAAATTGAAAAAAAAAACCAATTTACAAATGCCTGAAGAATCTACTAACTTGGGAACTCTAGTTAAATATGGTTAGATGATTTTTGAGGCTGGAGGATTTTGCAGGCCAGAGACTTAACTCTCAATCAAATGTCACTGAACGTAGTGCACACAATATGACCTATATCAGTTAATTGTATACTTAATTAAAAATTATACTATTAATTTTTTTAAAATGTACTTTATGGGGCAGGTATGTGCTATTTAAATTGCTACTAGGTAGCACATAACACCAGTGGAAGATATCTGTTTCCATGATCTAGATACATGTGTATTTTATATTTATCATTGGCAGTATTGCTATTGCTGGTGGCCGTAGGTTATCATATAAATGCTTTCATGCTATTAGTCTCGGAGGAGGAGGACAATTGTATGTATTAGCTAAGCAAAATAACCATGCTTTTCCTCTCTGTCATCCAAAATAAATTTGAACTCTTCAGCATATTTCATAATGTGGCTTCCTACTACACTACCAACTCTGATACTGAGTATCATTTTGCTCTTACCGTCCCATCCCGCTCTCTCCAATTTTCATTTTAACCAATAGGTAAATGTTTCAACAGAATTTCTCAAGCACAGTACTTTTCTTGGTCTTTGTTCCTGCCGTTTCCTGATATTTTCTTGTTTTCAAGTTTCTTTGAATACAACTACTCATGAGGAAAACGGGCTATTTTGTAGTTTTAAAATGTATTTTTATTAGTGCTTGTTACTTTTAAAATATTGTTTCCATATTGTATTTTAATGTATGGATATAACATATTTTGATCATATTTACTCTCCTACTTTGTATTTATCCCTCAATCTTTAACTTAGTCTTTAGCGCCCATTTTGTCAGATATCTCCCTCAAGAGAAGACACTTGTTTTATTCTTCACTGCATTTATGGATCCTAGCAGATGGAAACGATGGACTCAATGCATACAAATTGATTAACATCGAAAGAAAAAACCACTTTTAAATGCATATGTTATATCTGGTAGATCTGAGCATCATCTTCTAAAAGAATGCTTTAGTAAGATGAAGATGTGTCTTGAAAATAAAGTGCTTAGCTGTTTTTCTCTATAGATTGATTAGAACAGAAGTTGGTAAACTGGACTGCAGTCAAATCCTACCCAGTGTCTATGTTTGTAAGTGAATTTCCATTGGAACACAGTCATCCATTCGTTTACATGTTGTCTACAGCTGCTGTGATTGAATTGAGTGATGTGACAGAGACTTTATAGAAAACAACACCTGAGATATATATTTCCTGACCCTTTGTAGAAAAAGGTTTGGCAAGTCCTGGAACATAGGATGTTAATAAATTGTGCTGAATCCCAGAGTTCCACAAAAGAAAGAATTTGTTTTTCTTTGAAGAAACATGTCTGTTTTAGGATACCATTATGCTATATTTCATTATCAAACATCTTGGGAAGCTGTTTTCAGACTGCTAGTAAGTTATGAAGATACTACTATAAGATTTGCACTCTGAGAGGAACTCTTTGCCCAGTGATAAACATGATACATAGTTTTCAACATGAAACCTGAGGTCAAACAGAGCAACAGACCAAAACAAAACAAAACAATCCTAAGCCTGGTTTCAGATTAGACTCTAAAATATTAACTCTGCTTGTTCAAAACAAAACTTAGTGGATGCAAAAGGAAGTGATAACAACCTAACAGGGAAAAGAAATTCCCTCAATTTCAAAGGCAGAATTTGGCGGAGACATCTCTTCTAGTTTTCAAATTTTTGCACTCATCGCGACTGTTGTTAAGAGATGAGCTGTTCATCTAAAGCAACTTTGTCAGTATCCAGTGGATCCACTATGAACAGAACAGGCTGGGCTGTTCCCAGAACCCCTGCAGGGATAGCTTCAGAGATAGCTAGGTCTGTCCTATGTGGACAGCAGGGTCAATTCTAGGGCTTCCTTAGAGCACATGCTGGCCTTCTCGGCCCCACCTAGGAATGAAAGAAATCCCAGGGTTTCTAGATTCTTTTTCTCAAAATATGCTCTGTGTACCAGGAAAGTAGTTTTTTAGGGTCTTGGTAGAAATTCAGAATGTCAGTCTCACCCCAGACTAAACCTGAATCGTACTGTGCATTTTAATGAGATCCTTGGGTGATTTACACGTATATGAAGGTTCTCCACTGATACTGTCAGGAACCCCAAGATTGATCACAGGTGCCAGCCATGAAATAAGAAATATTTGTCTGACATTTTCCACCTCAATATTTGTAGGTCCTATTGTCTCACTATGGAGATATGCATTTGTGTTCCTCTCTCTACATCCCAAAATACACACTTACATGTACACGTACACGCATACACATACGCACACATAACACATACTATTCTACCTGTCAACTTTCTACTCTCTCCATTGCAAAGGTTTTTATTTTCACAGTTACAGTTGGACATCCACTTAATGAATATGTTTCTGTCAAGGCTGATGACATCCAAAATATTATCAACCCCAGTGGAAATTTGCATTCAACTTCTGGAATAAAACAAAACCAAATATGTCCCCTCCACTTCAAACAAACAAAAAAGCCTCACAAAACCCAATACTTTGACTATATCAAATAAATGGAATGCAGTGTTGCAATTTTAGACATTCTGAAAAGCTACAGGGCAGGCTGTTTCTGGAAAGGACATTTTGTTTTTGTTTTGTCTTTTTTTGTAGATACTATTAAATCATAAGAATTCTGCAGGCCTTGATGCTCATATAGTTGCCTGGAGGCCACTAATCATGTTCCTTTGGACCTCTGAGTCTCACTTAGCACTTGAACTTCACGGGAGTCCGTTTTCTGTGTGTAGGTCAGAGGGTTGTTCCCTGTCACCCTCTAGCTCTGTGACCCTTCTCTGGAAGTGGGAAGGAATAAAGTTATTTTTTCTCACTATATCTCTTTCTTCCTCTGTAATGCTCAGTTCCTCACCTCTAGCACTGAGATCACATTTTTCTTCTGTATTTCCATCTCAGTACCTTGTCAGCAATAATAGTTTGATAGGGCAGTGGCTGTTGCACTAAGCACCAGAATTGCATTCCAGAGTTCATCAGGCACCCAGCAGTACCACTGCACGCCACAGCATGCTTGGAAATAAGTGTTTAAAGAATGTGTAAAGCAGGGAAGTATGATACCTGGATGGCACTGCTTTACGGAGCCTCAGCTGCATCTTCTAACTGATTCATGGTGATTTATGTCAGCATGGGACCAGAATGTGAGCTATCATTTTGGGAAATGGAACTCTTCAAGATTTATTGTCTTTAATATTTGATCATTAAAGCTAAAGACTCATTTGGCAATTTATAATTAACCACCTGCTCAGAGCCTAAAATTACACCAGATCAAGGACTGTCCTATAAAATTAAAATTACAATGTGTTTTAGGGTGTTGGAGTTAGTATTCTCATTGGATTAAAAGTGTTAACTATTTTCTGATCTTGAAATCAAGCACAATTTTAACATCAGGAAATATTGTTTTTCTGTCTTGAAAATGTCATTTTCTTTCAGAATTTGAAGTTTATAGTGTTTTAGCTCATGTCCTTAGATTCTGTCAAAAATACTGGTAAATCTATGTGAGAAACAGTTAACTTCAAGACCAATACTACCCACGTCCAGTCTTCTAGAAAAGAGGCGTCTTTATTCCTGAGGGAATTAGGTGACGTTGAGTGAGGCTATTGTAGTGTAAATCCATCATGGTTTTGAAGTGATTGACTAATGTGTTCACACATGTCCAGGGATGATGTCACTGTCCCAGCATCAGAAGGACACCTACTTCCGGACAGTGGGGATATTTTGAGACATGTAACCCTCTTCTTCTAAGGATCCCAGTAACTGACCAGTGCACTTGTGAAAGAGTAACAGGACCCAAGATGCAGATTGTGTTCTTAAAGCAAAAGAAAACTTCCTCATAAATCAGTCTGCTTTTATGAGCATGTTATAGACTAAAATATTGCTGAAAATAAGACTGACTAAATAGGTAAACAATCCTATCTAGAGTTATTATGATAATTTGCAATTATGTTTAGTTTTACATTACTATCAAATATGTGGTAATGACAGCTATTATTAAAGACTTCCTTTGTATAGACATATTCTGTCACTGTATATAATCTCACTTTTAATGTAGTAAAATCTCTTATTTCATCTGGTTTAACATCATAAATATTCTGGTTACTAAATTTTGAATTATACAGAGAGTTCTGAGCTTTTCTGAGATTAAAATGCTATGGACATAATGCATATTATATTCTTTCCAACTAGACATGCTCTGAAGTCTTGGAATTTTTTGATAGCCCTTATTAAACACTTATGGACTAAACAGACAACTCACCCAATGAAAAAGTGATTTTTTCGGATGCGGTGTTCCGTACTTTATTTCCAGGGACTCGAAACAAAGCTGTGCACCAAATTGTGAGGTTGTTTGACTGGACTGGTGTAGTATGATGCATCTTTGTTAAAACAGACTTGAGTTCCAAAAACCCGCTTTTGTCTTTTCGCTCTTCAGTAGTAATATACAGCTCTACAAAACAGGTAAAATATTGTTAGTCATTCAGATTACCTACATCAGTTCCACAGTGCTGCCAAGATGCCATTTTGTGGCTTTTATTTTTTGTTTTGCTTTGCTTTTTGAGATGAGATCTTGCCTAGGCTGACCTTGAACTTGTGTCCTCAAATGGTCTTCTGATTCCAGCCACTAAAATAGCAGCGACTACAGGTTATGCTATTGCATTCAGTTAATTTGTTGTAATATAGTGTCTAAAGTAGTCAAGCTTCAGCTCCTGTGAAGTGAGGCTTGGTTTCAGCAGGGTTGGAGTTAACCTGAGCTGTTTATTAAAGCTCCTATGTGGCATTCATTGATCCATGATCCAGGGATTAAATGCATTGATTAATAATGTTACTTTATTTGAGCCTCGAGTCCAGGAGTTTGGGTGGAAGATTGTCCCAGCTCCGTGGTATTGTGTATTAACAATGGTGCAGCTGAGTTTTGGAGTGGGTTAAACCCAGGGAAGGCTCTGCAGTACAGTTTAGTTTTGTAGCAGCACTCAGATACAAAACCTTAAATACTGCACGGTTTCTCTTTTATGAGAAATTTAATTTATAAGTAAATGGCAAATTAAAAGATAATAGGCAATAGGAAAATGATATTTCTTAAATGGGAAGGAGATGAAGAGATGGGAGAGGGAGGAGAAAGGGGATAAAAAAGGAATTAAGATGTGTTCTGTACTTTCCCTAGAGGAAAAGTGACTCAGGAGAAGACCTGTTGTCCAGGCAGAGTTTTCTGTCACTATTACCACTTAGGAAAATATAACTTTGTGCTGAGCTCATCTCAGTGTGTTCCTGGGCCAGGAATTTTTAATTCTCAGCAAATGTGTTCCTTTTCAAGGAACCAACTCCTTTACACGCACTTCCTGTAGAGCTATGGCCTCAAGCCCTGACCCACATCCTCACAAGAAAAAGTAGAAATTATTTATTAACTGACTTTAAGCAGTGGCGCTACACAAATTGGCCACATTCTACCAAATTAAGAAAGAAATGCAAACAACAATGTTGCAAAATCAGAGACATCAATTATATGTGGAATCAAATATTTTTGTCTTCATATGAAATATCTGCTTTTATTAACACTTCAGCAAAAGTATCTGTATGTTGTTTGATGAAGTCAACTCTCCTTCATTTTGAGAGGTGTTACTTTCTCTCCTTTTGGAGTAGTCAAGGGAAATATCAGATGATGATATTTAGTAGACAGAAAGTTGTGTCTCCTGCATTGGGAATTATTCTTTCATGCCAAGAACAACTTGCGCCATGATGAGTTTTAATCTCTCCCTCTCCTTTCCTCCCTTCCCTTCCTTTCCTTTTTTCCTCCCTCCCTCCTTCTTCTCCTTCCCTCCCTTCCTCTCTCCCTCTCCTTTTTTTCCTTTTTTTCTGCCGAAATCATTTTCATTTATTTGTTTCCTTACCTTCTTTGTCACTCTGAAGAATCCGGCCATCAATAAACCACGTAAGATTTGCTTTGGGAAATACATTTTTTAGTGAGCAGGTAAATATACTCTAGGACAGACAGAAAGAGCATTATTCAGAGGACAGTGGTCCTCACATCTCCGCCAACATTCATGTGAGGCAAATTGGCAAGCAATGACTTTCTCTATTTTTACCTGGGTAACTACAAAGTGTGTTTACCTCCAAGATAGATCGTTTTAAAATGTGTCCTATATGTCTACAACCACGCTAGAAATTTATAACTACATCTCCCAGGTCACTTTCAGGATCTAGGACTATACTAACATTATAAGTCTGGATTATAGGTTCTAGAAAAGGAAAATCATAATTTTTGGCAGACAGAATAAGCTTATACTAAATGTAAACTGAAGAATAGATGAAGGAAGAGACCAGAGAATGTTATTTTTAGATTAAAAAGCTAAAACAGATCCACGTATTACATTTGCTAAAAAATGTAAAATACTATCTATAGCAACAAATACAGAAACCATTTATATAAATACACCACTTTTTAAAAATTACTTTTAACTTTTAAACAATTTTCCTAATTTTTAAAATTTTTCTACCTTGATTCTATAGGGACGATAGGGTAGGCCTTTTTATCACCATTTGACAGATGGAGAGAATCAAGGCATCAAGGGATCTAAAGAAGTGGAAAGGAATTAATGCTGTAGTTAGGAGCTAGAGCCCCTCACATCCAGTCGGAGGTATTTCCTGGCAAACGCTGTACTGAAATCATAATGAAATAAAAACTAGATTGCTATGTTATAAAAGGAGAGAGCTTGGATGCAGGGTTAGTTATGCTTTATTTTTGACACCGTTCATTCTTTGGCTAATAGGTTCTTTCACATCCTAGTGAAAATACCCAGTGATACTTATTATATCCCTCTTGTTTTATCAGATACCCTGTAAAGTTATGATTTTATTTAAAATATTCTGCTTTATCATCAAGAGATGGATATATATTTTACATATTCTAGTTGATAGTATTCAAATATTTTCCACAACTGATGAATATAGTTGTTAAGCAGTAAAGAACAATCAACCGTGTGTGATACTCAGTGTGTCTACTGATAAACTAGCTCCTCCTGAAGAATTTGAGCCTGCAGAACTGAGGAACCAAACTCAAGAGGACTGGCTAGCATTTTTCTGGTGAGGGTCTGTTAAGGTTTAGCTTCCTATTCCTCAGTATAACCATTATCAAAATCCCCAGGAAACAAGTAAACTTTCAAACAAGGTTATCTATTGTGTCCAATAGCATAGGTAGCTCTCAGAATTTCCACTCAGACAACGTTTATTTTTCCAAACAATAGGGATAAATGCAGAAGGCAAGGATGTAGAAATAATATATACATACATATATTTTCTTTCCAAGAAAATAAAAACTAGAACCCCCAAGTAAATTCTTACTAAGTAAAGCAAAGATAATCCAGTTCATTTAATCCAATATGATGTTAAAGATCATTACATCCGGTTGGTCAGGAAAGAATACAGAGACATGGGCTTTGAATAGTTAAAAAGGAGTTTTGAAAGTTTATATTCTGCTCATTGTTTTTAACCAGTCTCATGACTCACTTCCCTTCCCTTCAGTAACTAACCACAAGACAAGAGATAACACCAAGGCCAAGTGAAGGTTCCATCATTCGGCAAAGATAAGTGGCTCACTAAAGAAATCTTCTACTAACTTCTAAAGATAGCTGAAAAGATTTAACTTTTATGGATTTTGGAGGCTCAGCCTTCCTGGAATGATGCCAATTTCAAATATTCTACCTCTGGACTCTATATTCCAAAATTTGGTTTAGGGGTATGGTTGTTGTTCTAAACTCTACCCAACCACTAAAATAAAAAAGCCACAGTCTAAAGTGGTTTAACTTGAAGTCAAATACAAAATGTCAAGTATACATGGTCTTGTGAGCGAGCAGAACTGCTTTAAATTGGGAAATTTTACCTGGCTTAAATGAGCAAAGAGTGAACTATGCATAAGAGATACCTCTACACCATGAATGCATACATATTCTTTGGCTGAAAAGTAAAAAGTCTTTCACTTGTGCATCCTGTACATGTTGAAAAGGGACAAATCATGTAACTTTTTTTCTAACACATTATTCTAAGTATATAAAGAATAAGTGAACAATAATACAATTATGTAGTAAGTGCCCGAAAGTGTTTGAACAGTTGTGTGAGAGTATAGAAAAGAGCAAAATCTCAGAATAATCTGGAAAACAGTTATATAGTATGGACAGTGTGTTTTTTAGAGATGTATGTTGAAACATAGAGAAGTATTCAGCAACATGGCCTCTTCAGAGGGCAAATAATTTAATCATGGGAAACAGAATTAAGACTTGGAAGAGCTTGACATACTATTATGAAGCATTTGCCAAGAGCACCTTGTTTTGGTGGTGGAGCTGGTGGAGAAAAGGTTTGCATTTGGGTTTATGTGTTGCAGAAAATCTTACAGGCAGAGGAACACCCACTTGGAATTAAAACTCTTCTGGAAGTGAGAGGAAACCAGAAGATGGATTTGTCCTTGTTCTGTGGTAGAAGTCAGGTAATAGCCCCCCAGAATGTGCAGGGGTTTATTCACTCTGCACTGGACAGATCACAGACAGACTTAAGATCTTGCTTGCTGGCGAGGACTCACTTGTGGCCAGGGGAAGGACTTCTCTAACTTTTCAAGGTTATAAAACTTCATAAAGATATTCATTTAAGAAAAAAATCAAGAAAAAAGAGAGAAGTCAAGTTGTTTTAGAAATACAATATGATTTTTCATTACTTAGTCATCTGTAATGGAGTAAATAAACCAAAAATCATGTATAAATTGCTTCAGGAAGGTTATTTGGACTGTTAGCTTTGTGGGTGATTGTGCTGTGGAAAGTGGAGCATAATGAACTGCAGGAGTACCCTGTCTGTGTCTGTGAAGGTGTGTTGCACCCCATTCTCTTCTGTCATGTCACAATCTTTTGTTGACAAAGCTGGGCCTGCTGTTTTGATTTCTTAGAATCCCAGCTTCAGAAGGAGATTTCTAGGGGAAAAGTGACTTTGCGCTGGGGACTTTATTACTCAGGTCTAGGAGGCTTTGCAAGAGAGACCCTAAAATTTCCAGTATTCAAAAATACCAGGGTAGTAAATGATGCAGAGATCACTGAGTTATCTTAAGCCTTGCAATTGATTGACAGAGAATGTTCTGCATCAGGAAGTAATGATTGTCTTTCTCACCTAGTCAAGGAGGGATTAATAAATACCTGAAGCGTGGAAATAATGTACTCATAGACCATTTTTCTTGGATCAGATGCACCCAAGCTCTCCAGTGAAGCAGAAAAGAGAAAAGATCACAGTAGCAAGAGTGGCTGGCCTTTGGCCATTACTGTGAATCTCTAGGAGTTGCCCCATCCTTTCCCAAATATATATTAACCTTGTGACTTCACTGAAACACTGTGTACATCTAGGCACAGCCTAAGGACAGTGTGGAAGAGGAAACACCTTGAGGTGGGAAGAGGATGAAGAGGAAAGAAACAGGATGCAGGTGAAAGGAGCCTTAAGAATGAAGGAGAGGAGGAGGAGATCAGTGAGCCTGGAGAACTGTCTGGACAGTTTGTGAATGTCACGTCCATCTCGGTGCCTCACAACAAGGGGACCCAGTTCTGAGGCATGGCAGTATTTCCATCTTGCTTGCTCTCACACTGGGCAGCACCCCAACTAGGATGCTACCTGCAGCTTGCTAAGTAGGTGAGCAGTGGGCCAGGGGTGAATGTAGGCACCACTGCTCTTTGGAAGCATCTGAAAAGCATGCACAGAGAAGGGCTGGTGAAGAGTGGTTACAGCCCTGCAGGGAAGCACCAGGACCCATGGCCCCAGGAAACCCATCTCCCTCTGCACATTGAGGGTGACTGGGGCAGGCTCCTGGAGCAAGCGAGTGCCCTGGCAGCATGGGAAAGCCAGCGGAAAAAGCAGGTGCTGAGGAAGGAGAGGACAGTGGGACGGCAAGAGAGGGCTGTGGAGAGGAGGGAGCAATCCTGGAAGAAATGGAAAGGGCCATCTCGGAGACAAAGAGGAAGGTGAGGGCTGAGAAGGTGGCATGCGGCATCCAAAGAACCTGTCTGCAGAGGGACATCCTGTCCATTTTGTTTAAATTGTGCTTACAGTGTCCATTCTCAAAACACTCACTTTAGCCAGCTCAAATACAAAGTGAAGCAATTTAGTGATGATTTGTTCTTAAGAAAAAACAGTGCATCTTGTGAATTAATCTCAACAAGTCTGAATTGAACAAATGCTCATTTATAGACTTCCTAGTGTTTGCTTGACAAAACTGAAAGATGCATTAGCTAAATATAAAGATTGTTTTTCTAATATGGGCAGAATTTGTCATATTGTTTGGTAAAAAGAACATCTGTGCCTAGTTCTGGGGAGGGGATGCTTCTATAGCTGAGGCTGGGCATGAAACTGACTTTATGACCTATGTGGTCAGTGACTCTTAGAGACCTCAGCGCTAGCAAAGCACAGCATTCCTGGATCAGAGTTGTTTGCACTGATAGTGATGGTACAGCAGAACTGGATGTGAATCTTTCTCTGTGCGATCCAATGGCAGAAACACAAAGAAGCTTCCGCCTGAGCTCTCTGGAACTTGTGATGCACCTTTTTGTAGTGTTTTGCATTGTACTTGGATTACAGCTGTTTCCCCAGTGTAGCTAATCTGTGTCCTGTAAATTTTTCTAACAGTCCAACACATAAGCCAATAAGTATGTAACTACCAGAGTTTAAATACCCAAGGCTTTCCAACATATCTAGTTTAAATATTAACAATACAGGTCATAAAAGTTTCCTCATAAGTATTTATAAGTTTAGTCTCATTTCAGATAATGCTTTGGGGGCAAGGTGATGAGGAAGAAATAAAAGAAACTCAGAAAAAAGAAGATAGAGGTGCATAAGGAAACCTAATAGACAGAGATGAAAAAGAAAAGAATAGAGAAGCAGAATGAAAATGGGGAAGAGAAAGCAAGACAGTACGCTAGGAAAAGTTCAGCATGAAAAGAAAGAAAGAGCATGACTCTCTCTCCATGAATTAACTCAATTTTGTTTTGTGCCTACAGACCAATCCTTCATTCGAAAAGTGGGTTTTAGATTTTATTTGTGCTTCCTCTGAAATGCTGACTACACAGCAATTCATTGTTTAAAAAACATCTGATTAAAATCTTTTTCATCTTTAAATATTCAACAATGCTTTGAAGAAAGGGAGACAGACTAATAGTCCATAAAGAACGAAAAGTTTTCTGAGTGGGTAATAATATCCCTAAAATACAAATGTCACACTGGATAGTATTCTGGTCTTTGTGCAAGAATGGATTTTTGTTTAGGAAGATTCCTCTAGCGCCTTTGCTTGTTTAAGTGAGTTGGGAGTGGAGTACTGAGTAAGAGAGAGAGAGAAGGAACACAAGAAAACACAAAGACATGTCCCATTATCTCCTTGATAACTATTGCTTTATGGGCACCAACCTCTCTGAAGCTGGTGAGATCCTAGTGTTAACATGGCATCTTGCCTCCTACACAGCTCAGCATAACTGCTTGACATTTGTAATGCAGCTTAGGAACTAGACCTGTAATCCCTGTAAGATGTTCGTGGAACAAACAACTTTCCAAACACCAAATTTATGAAAACACAGATCACTTCACAGATCAGCAATGCTCTTCTCTGTACATCCTGGGAAAGTGACTACTATTACAGACCTCATTTCCCATGTGGTTTCCTTACAGGGTTGTGATGTCCCTTGCTGCACCCTCTCCATCCAGGCAGAAAACCCAGGTGCTCTCCAGCGCAAACCACCAGGGCTGAGCGTCACACACCTGGGCATTTGTCATAGCCACTTTGTGCCACAGAAGAAGGTTAAGAAAAAGAGAAGCTGTCATAATCAGTCTCTTAAAACTAAAAACCAACCCATACACATTTGGAATGGGATGTAAGAAAGTCCAGGAACCCAGAAGGGAGGTTTATAAAACCAAAACCAAATAAAAATAAATAACTGAATTCTGCATAAAAGCTACTGTAGCTTTCCTGATAGTCTGAGGCTGACGTCAGCATGGTTTTTAAGTTATGGTGTCTGTTTTACATGATTTTTTTTAATTGGAGATTTTCTTTTTAGGTCTCATAACTTCAAACTGTGTTTCCTATGTTTCACATAAGGTCATTTTCTCTACATTTCCTCCCCTAAATTGTGTGAAATTTAATAAATAAAGAGTGACAAAAACAAAATGGAATAAAGCATATAACTGAAGCCTAAAGAGACACGTGGCTTTGGAAAGCCTGAAATACTGTATAAACTCTGGAGTTTTTATGCATTTGCCATCCTATGCTATGTCAGCAGCCATGGATTTGGGGTTTTCTGGCCCAGCATCTTTTATTCTGATGCAAAAGTTAGCTACAGAGGTGGGCTTTGAGCTTTAGGTGAAGGACTTCCTTCTCACCTGAGCTGCAGGAGCACAGTGTTTGCCATGTAAGCGACCCTGGCAAAGTCACCCTTAGGAACAGGTAAGAATATGATACCCACAGGAGGGACAGTTTGCTTGGATATCCCTGATATACATAAACCCGCAAGGCATTATTGTTGTGATAATTTTAGGTCAACTATTTTATAGAAAAACTAAATTAGTCATAAACTTTATAAGTTTAATAAAACTGGACCACAGTCTAGCACTGAGAGCTGCCAAGCAGGGAACACGCAGCTCAGGCGAGACAGCCAATACACACACATTCCCTTAGTTAATTCTAGGGAATGAAGGCGTGGGAGGGAAGCTGCTGTTAATGAAGGCTATGGCCGCCAGACAGTAGGCGCTTTGCATACATTTTCTCAACCTATCTTTTCATCACCCTCAATTAGAATCACTGCTCCTATTCATTGATAAAGAAGTTAAAGAACTAAGGTTCCCAGGCCCCAACTTAACGAGTTCCAAAAAAGAATTAAGCTGGATGTCATGAGGCAGGAAGTTCACAAATTCAAGACCATTCTAGCTTAGTGACTCAGTGTGATCTTGATTAAAAAAGAAAGGCCAGGGGACGTAGGTCAGTGTGAAGGCTCTGAACTCAATCTCCAATGTTGCAAAATTAATTTAAAAATAATACTGAAAGCTAATTCTATCTAATTACAAAATCTGTAGTTTCTTGCACTATCTCATACTGTCTCCTACAATCGTTGTCTTAACAGACTAATGAATGTGCATGCAGAAGAAGGAATGGAGAAAAGAGAGTGACAAATTATGGGGAAGGTAAAATTCTGTTATGTGTCACGTAGTCTAGAACTGTGCATAACTTTGATTTTTCTAAGAACCTCATGGAGTATTCATTGTCATCTCAGTCTTAGAGGTTGACAAACTGAAGCTTGTGGAGGCTAATTGTTTGCTGAGGGCTTTTAACTAGTGAGTGGTTGAATTTAGATTTTATATTAGTTCTGGCCCTTAACAATGATGAACCTTTTATTATTTCATTGTCCCTGGATGTGGGCATGCTAAATATGCACCCCAATCCGGCCCTTCAGTAGTGACTCAGCCAATTGTTTAAGACTTTGCAGGCTCATACTGCTCATCTGTAAAATGACAAATGCTGTACTTGTTTCAGAAGCTCACTGAAAGCACCAAAAGATAAAAGTACATGAATATGCTCTGAAGAGTTAATAAATCACTAAAGGTACGCCAGCTACCAGAAGAATATTAGAGTCAGGAGTTACTCATGTTTGGAAAGATCTGAAAAGACCCCTAGAAAAGCTATGTCACATAGCTGATGATGTGAAATTGGAGAGATCATACACGAATTCCCTAGGAAAAAAGTTCTCCAGGTTTCCTAGTCAGCACTTAGGCAAGCATGGGTACAAAAGAGAAGATTTTATGATGTAATGGCATGCAAGCCAAAGTCTCTTTTTGTAATAACTGTGATCCTTAAATCCAACTGATGGTTTTATATCTGGATTAAGCTCATATTACCTGCTTCTTAGTCACTCATCAGTGGAACAAAATACTCACTACTCACAAATTAAGGTTTTATTTTTGTTCATATTTCAGTCCATGACCAGCTGGCTTTAAGGTAGAAACAGGATGGTAGAGGAGCATGGTGGAGGAAAAGAGATTTAATCTACAGCAGCCAAGGAGCAGAGAGGGAGAAGGGGTGCCAGGGAGAAAGACATATCCTTTCTAGCTCCCAAGCATGTGACACATCTCCTCCAACAAGATCTCACCTCCTAACAGCGCATATACCATTGGACTCCTCTGATGAGAACCGTCTATTGTTCCTGTGGTCCAGTCCCCTTCCCAAAGTCCCACCTGGGAACACGTGGGCCCTCTGAGGGATACTCTAGCCCTAAAGCTTAACAACTTATAAACACCAGCACTAACAATGTGTAAGAAATCTTTTAAGAAACAGACACCTACCTAAAGCTACATCTTTAGATGATTTGTTTTATTCAAGCTGTTGAAATAAAGTCCACTATATAAATTTAGAAACTAATTGGAACAGGGCAAACACACACACACACACACACAAACATACACACACACACACACACACACACACACACACACACACAGAGAGACACATACACCATGGGCAGGACAATAGTAGTTAAGTAAGTAAGAGACTAATACAAGCAATTGGCAAAAGACTTAGATAATTGGATGAGGTACAGCCATCCTAAAGTACTGCGCAGAGTCAGAGCCATGATTTGGAGGCAGACGTCCAATTAAATGACTGTTTATCAGGACCAGAGACATTATTACTGATTTTTTTTGGAGAGGAGAAGAAACTGGAGTACGAATATAATTTTTTCTTACCCTATGTGAAAGGAAACTTTTGAGAATTAATGAGAATATTTATTTTACCTGAGATTCTGAAAGTTTGGGGTAAAATCATAATACTGAATGACAGCTAATTAAAACAGATGATAGTAATTGAAATAAGAGCAACAATGTTTATTGAAAACAATATATGCCACATACTACATAAAGAATATTTCATACATTAATGTTATTTTTAAAACAAAAATGCATAGATACTATTATTGATACTTCATATATTTGGAGAATCTGATTATGAAGATGTTATATAATTTGTTCAAGATTTCAGCCAACAAGAGCAGAAGTTAGGAATCCCAGATCCCAGTGACTAGAGGCTTGGAATATGCAGAAGATGATGCGTACTGGTTTACTTTTCTTTTTCTCTTTCTCTGCTTTCCCTCTTGCTGCTAACAAAATAACCAGAGCTCTGAGAACATACTGCAGGGCACAGTTTTTTTCTTGTCACTTTGAAATAAAAATAATGGGAAAGCTGGTGCAAGAAATGGATTACAACAAATTAAATGTCAGCTGAACAAAATCCTCATTCTTATAGTAGGAGCCACATTGCTTTTTGTTCTACTTTTCTCTCAATTTTTTTTTATTAAGGAGAAGTTTAAACTGCTGATTTTATTTTTCTAGAGAATTTTAGGACTACAGATGAAGATCACACCTTCTGACAGTCCTAAGTCAAAGTAAGTATCCCCATTTGGTTTCTAGAATCAGCTGTTTCTTTTCACGTTCATCATCTGCTCATTGGCTAAGAACCACGGAGTAAGGTCCTTAGCAAGAACATTCTTGGCAGGTGTATAACCTGCACATAATGCTATCGATTTTCAAAGGCTTTGAGGTGACTCACCTTTCCCAAGACATCCGTGGTTTTGTTTTCCATAATCTTGGGGATTTCTGGCTTAGCTTAAAGACAAATAAAACAATTAGTGGCACTGAATGAGCTGTGTGTGTGTGGAGAGAGAGAGAGAGAGAGAGAGAGAGAGAGAGAGAGAGAGAGAGAGAGAGAGAGAGAGAGAGAGAGAGAGAATGCATGCATATGTTCTGTGAGAAACACTAACTATCCATCAGATACTTATTAAATACCCACTGTGTGCCTGACAGTAGATAGAAGTCAAGGAAACAGAGGTGGGCACACTGTATTTCCTGAAATTTACATTTTCATGGAAAATGCAAATAAAGGAGTTAGAAATTATAATACACTGAGGTAAGCACAATTATTGAGACCATGTAAGATTTGAAGAAAGCTTTTAAGAAAAGCTTCTAACCAGACTTTAGAGGATAGGAGGCTTGGGAAGATGCAATATGCAACTGGAAACTGGAGTGGGGTCAGCGGTGAACCAGTTGTCACTTTCAGGATCTAGATGAGAGCCAGAAAAAATACATAACATTTTTGTTTGTCTGTTTGCTTGGCACTAGAAAAATATCAAGAGATAGTTCAGCAATTTTGTTGTCCTGGTAGACTCTGTAAGTCTTTCAAAGCCAAAGTATGCTACACATCTTCATCTCCAGCACTTAGTGCCCAGCACAAAGTACACATCGAGTGCATCATGTTAAACTGAAGTGACTTCAAGTAAGTTCTTCACTGCAGCCGGCAGAGCTTCCATAAACAGTGGAAAGAACGTTAGCGCCTCTTCCCAGATGCAGTCTGTGCTTGCCACATTGCATAGCATTGCCTTGTACACAGTGTTCAGTCTTGATAGGCACAAGATTCCTTGGCATGATAGGAACAATCCCAGTATATCAAAAGGAAAAATGGGAAGGGGTCAAGTGTGATGACCAATGAGATTTAGCAGCTAAACATCCTGGCTTCCTTGCCGTTCATTGAGAAAACTCTCACGTGTGTTCTATGCTTTGACCCAGTGTTCCCAGTGGAACTGATTTCTGTCCATGGTGGTAACTGCTTTAATCATGCACATGTTATTATTTAGATTCTATTTCACGCTCCTATTATTTCCCAAGATGGCATCTCAAATATTGACTCAAATCTTTCTTGCAATGTTTTCTTTCAGGAGAAAGCAAAACAACATATAACCCTTAAATTCTCAAGAGAGGAAGAATATGTTTGACATTTTACTAGGCAACTACTAGTATCAATAGCAAGAAAGACCTGGAAGAAGCAACAATTACTGAAACTTTCAGGGCTGATTAAAAGAGACAGTGCCTCTTTGTAGCTTAAGATAATCAAATTTTCAATTTAGGAACGAGGAAAGCAAACTTGTGCTGAAAGGCAGCTTCCTCCCAAGGAAAATGAGGTAACAGAAGGCAGGTCGATGCAGGAAGCAACGAAAGAGCTGATTAGTAGACAATGAAAAGCTAGTTGAGGAGGCATAGTTTAGAAAGAAACGATGCGTTCAGGTTATAGTGAATGGATAGGTGATACTTTTGGATATTCAGTTTTTATGTTGTATTTTTTGCTTATTCAGCATGGGAAATCACTGATGGATGCAAGTTCTTATACACTATATATTATACCTTTGTGTTAGGACCACTGTAATGTACATGTAGGTGATACCCACAAACTGAGTAAAGCCTAGATGAAATGCTGTCCAAATACAACTTATCCCGGGCCCTTTAATAAATGAGAATGCCATTAGGTGAGGAAAATATCATTCTATGAATAAGCAGGCAGGGTCTCACATTCTAAATATCCACCAAAATGAGTTCAGAGAAATAACAAGAGAAATATAGAAACAGAGATATAGAACCAGAGAAATGATAAAGGAGTAAAAAGTGTTCAAAATCAATGTGAAAATATCTTGATCAGTAAGGAGATCATTATGCATATCAAAAATGTACCAATAAAATTAATTAAATACAAAGAGATACAAGGTGTGGTTTAAATCTTATTTACATCATGTTGTGATACAAAAACCCTTGGTAAAATGGAGATACAGCTTGCCAAGTTTAAAACTGATATTTTTTCTATGTCTTGGATGGCTGCCTTCATGGGGTTGCCAATAGTCAGGCCAGATGGGTCCATTTCACAGTTAAGGCAGCTCAGGTATGTGCAAAAGACAGGGTGAGCGGAGCCGCAAGTGACATCTCAGATCAAAGAAGTCTTGGTTGTAGCTACTTCCATTTTTGTAAATTGTTTTGTTTTCTCCAAAATACTGTATCTTGTGATTTTCAGTACGAAAGATTCAAAAGAAAAACAAAATTTTACTTGTTCTATCATTCAGAGAGCTAAGGAACAACTTAGCAGGCTTTGCCCTTAGGTTTTATAGTTTCTTTGTACCTCATTTTCTAAAATAATTAATCGCTTATTCATTTGACTTGTTTCCCCCTTGCCTTTCTCTAAAAGTGGTTTTCTAAAAAAAAAATAATACAAGTCTTGGTCACAGAAATGATGAAATACTGGAAGTGGGGCTTCTGTTTATTAATATTTCCTTACACCATAGGGCAAAATAGAAGGTGCACATTTTCATCTTAAAATTGCACCCTGCAGAGCCTCTGCCTTTTGAGTGAAGCACAGTGCAGGTTACAGCGCAGCTCTGCTCTCCTGTGGATGCAGAGCCTGAGGTTCATCCTGCAGCCGCCTTTGCTGGGAGAGCTGGGACAGTGGCTCACCGTGGCTGCTCCTGGGAGGATCGGGTGGGGTAACTGCAGAGTTTCTCTAGGCTCTGTTAGCACCTTCCATTTTTCTTCCTGGTGGCCTTATTCTACGTTGCTCCAGAAAGCAGCTCAGACCATTAGACAAATAAGCAATTAGATTTTTATAGCTGTAATTAAATCGATTTCCAGTATCCTTAGGGAAAATTGATATTGCAGACAAGGCCTAGATGACACATATATGGCTTATGTGTAAAAACTGACCCACATACGGCTTCTTGTATGACTTTTTTCCTTATCCTTTTTGCCATTGTGCTCACTTTCAACAAGGATGAATGATAAAGATCAAAGCACAACAGAATTTGGGAACAGTTACTCTGGTGTGGCTGCTCTCCTGCATAGACAAGGACTTCATTTTCTTGGGGACAACAAGGCGTGAGATACTGACAGGAAGATGATAGAAGTCCACAGAAGAAAATCTCTTACCAAAAACCTTCACAGTGGTAGAGCTCTTGAAGATTTTGCCAGACTTGACTCCAACATGGCAAGAGAACTTCCGGCCATCATCCTGGATCTGGACTGGAAAAAGGTGAAGTCGATAGCTTGTATCTAGTGTGACTCTGTCTGCAAATGATGTGGCGTTGCTGATGTGATGATTCTGGGAGATAATAGTTTCCTGAGTGCCATTGTCCTCCTGGCAAGAAAAAAATGGTCAGTTATCAGATACTCAGTTGGGCCAGCTCTGAAGTAGGTGTTGCATGAGCATTAATTAATTTATTTTTGCAAAATGGAGAGGAAAGATGATGAATTAAAATGAAGAGATATTTAGTATGCCCCCACAGAAAGTATTGTTACATTTGACTTTCAATTAAAAACTAGTCACCCTCTCCAGAGATGTGTAGAAGCTTGCAATGGCTCTTCTGCCCAGACCTTCCCCTTGCAGAAGCCGCGTATCTGGCGAATTTATGGACCTTGAAGGGGAACTAATGGTTCATTTACAAGGCTCTGAAATTTTAATGTTGACTTATAATAAGCAACGTTTATGACTTTTGCTTATTAAATCTTCACATGAACTGGATAATTTGTGTGTGTGTGTGTTACTGGGGATCAAACCCACGACCTCACACTTGCCAGGCAGGTGTTTATGCTGCTGAGCTAAATCCCCAGCCCTATGAACTGGATAATTATAGCCACCTTCTTTGGTCAGAATTTCTTTAGAAAAGGAATTTTAGCTCTTCTCAGAAGCAGGACTAGGACAACATAAAGGTACAATTACACTGAGTGTAAGAAGGCCTCGTCTGAGGATCTTGTGAGTGAAATGTTGGCACCTGTAGGGACTTCCTCATTGAATTTTGTCCTAGACACCTCTTTCTTCCTCCTAATCATGGTGCTTACTCTTACATCCTTTTACTCTTATGTATGTTCTACCAGTAGCTTCATATGTTAACCTGAATTTTGGGTATCAGTTTAATTGGTGTACGTGGCTCCTCTACTCCACATTGTCTTGGATCTGTGAAGAAAAACCCTCATTATCCTTACCCTGCCCAGCCTCTCCATGGTTAAGCTCTCTTTGCTTACGGTTGGTAAATGTGCTGACCAACTTCCCAGTGAAGAGCAAACTCCAGGGGAGGACGAGGGTAGAAGAAGAGCTAAGTCCTCAAACCCAACCACTTTAACTCAATATTCTCAGTTGAGCTGCTTTGAAACTTCTGAGACACAAGGTCTTCCTCTGCAGGCTCTAAATCTCCATCTCTCTGGAATTAGGCCTGGACCAAGGCATTTTTTAGAGGTTCTCAGGGGAGCCTGGGCTGAGAACTACTGGCCTAATCAAACTACAGATGAATGACTGTGCACAGGGGAAATGCACAGAGCTAAGATACAGAAGGCTGAACAAGAATGCATCTTAAAGGTAAAAAGTTACAAAATAATGAAAGCAAATACCGATGACTTGGAATCTCTAGTATAAATAACAAAGTAAAGTCAGGGTTGAAAAACTGGAAGCCAAGTAAGTGAGTAAACCCAAGTATGACATAATTCTGAGTTTGATCATATGGATGATTTCAGAATTTACTTAGGCAGGACTCTCATGTAAGGCACAGCTCTTCAGATGAATGTGGCTAGGAGTTTTTACCAGCCTTATGTGAGTATAATGCTGTAGTGTTCCCTGCAAAGAATCACACCCTGCTAAAATCCTGGTACTGAAATGCTGTGTGTACCTTTTCACAACACCACGAGCCTGTGCTTCTTTTCCCTTTAAAAATAATTGCTAGTTTGTGTTTCCCATACATAATGAATATATTCATCATTGGGCATTGGCACATTATGCACTTCATGTTAGTTTTTTTACAACCCCTTCCCTCATTTCCGTCTCTCTGCACCTCCAGATTCTTTATGCATGTGCACATATTCTACCTTCTTGTTTACTGTCATTTCCCTTTTAGCTTGCTTTTTGAATTATTTATATCTTGAGTTTTTCATATGAAAAAACCATGTGACATAGATCCGCAGTGTCTAATTTATTTCACTGAGTATTAATGAACTCAGGTACTATTGTCTTAATGAAGAAGGTTGTACCATCAAGAGCAAATGCGTGTCCTTGAGACTGGGCCCCCAAGGAGCGCTAATGATTGTGACGCTGCCAGGACAAAGGGGAAGGAAGGCGTTTCCCTGGGCTGATCTGAGGCTAATCGTTAAGGGAGCAGGCTCCCCCTGCAGGTCTTTTAGCTCAAGAGTCATTGTACAGCCTCTTGCTTATGCATGCACTGCTTTGTAAGAATTTTGGAAACCATTTTTCCCCACCTCGGACCAGCCTCACCTCGTGGTTTTGTTCTATAAAAATCCCTGGAAAAGACAAGACCCGGGACCTCTCTCAGACAGAAGCTTTCGTTCCTCTCAATAAATATGGTCTGCTCTTTAAAAAGCAAACCAAAAGAAACCGTTCTTGGTTATTCAGTATGTGGCTTGCCATGTGGAACATTTTTATCTGTCGTTTTGTTGTGGGAAAGGCAGCCACATGTAGACTGCTAAGAAAAATCGTGCTTGCCTTTATTATGTAGCAGAGTATGATTATCTCCAGTGGTTTATTTGATAGAGAAAAGATACCATAGAGAAATGAATAAATAAAAGTCAAGTTATGCACTGGTTGTTTTGTTTTGTTTTTGCTTATTTTTTCCTCTTGGGTATATGCCTGCTGCAGAGGAAGGGGTTTGTTCCTTCACTGGAAACATACTGCTCATTTTCAAAATTTCCTGTAATGTATAACACAAGGAATTCCTGAGAGACTCTAGAGACCCTAGAGATCTATAGCTCCATATTTTATAGAGGGTATAGTGACAAAACCTGCAGGTGAGTGTCTACCTGCACTGATCAAGCAACAGGAGAAGTAGCTAAAACTAGCTCAGGCAGTACCTAGATGGGGGAAACGTCTAAAGCTGATGGTGAGACAATGCTATTGTTCTCTGACCGCTCTAAACTTTTATTAGTCATAGTCTAAATTTATTTAGCAACTAGTATCTTTTAGGTATTATGCAAAGTTCTTTCCAATCTTATTTATATTCCTCATAGTAATTTGAAATAAATTGAGGTTATTAATTTGCTAATTTGCTCAGTTAATATAGTGTAAAAAGGTATTTAAGTCACAACATTTCAAACCAAGAATGTTCAGAACCATGGGTAAGAGTCAGAGACAACATGTATTAATAAAATCGAAACCACAAAAAACAAAATTAGTGAAAAACCAGGTGGAGAATCTGGAATAAAAAATTCAAAAGAAAATCCAGAAAGCCAGAATGTTTTGTATCAGGTACAGACTGCAGGGATGTGGACAAACTGCTGGCTGAAAAGGATATTCTTGCAATATACTGACCCACTTTTGGTATCAGGTATCATAGATAAACATCCAATACAGGATGCATCAACTCCTACCTGATCTGTAATAATGACTTTATGTAACTTGGTCTACAAGGAGACAGACTGGTAATGGGTCCTTATGCAGAGCTTTTAATTCTGTTTTGCTTGCCTTTCCCTGTTCTTTAAAGAAAAAATCATCTCCATTTTCAAGTATTAATAACTGTTTCTAAAACCTTATGAGCTTGCAACTTGATGGACCTTTACGGAATATACATATTCCGTTAATATGTAATGGAATATACCTAACGGAATATACATATTCCGTTAATATGTAATGGAATACATATTATACACATTATATGTAATACATATTACACATTAATGGAATACATATTATACACATTAATATGGAATGGAATACACATTATATGTTACCTAACATATAAGATATACCTATTCTAGTCCTGACACTTAGTATATGGTTAACTATACAAATTCAATGCCTTCCAGTACATTCATGATCAATGTGCTCTCTTTCATTAGTATTCACTATCTACTGGGCTAAAAGTGAAAAATGTTGTAGTCATTGCTGTTTTGATTTCTTCTCCCTTATGAAAGTCATTTTAAAAATTAATTATTATGTAATGCAAATTTGCAGTAATACAAAATAAAAAACTAGGAAAAAGAAATTTGACTCCCAATATAATAATGCTAAGAAGCAGTGACTGGGCTGGGGTGGATTAGTGATAGAGTGCTTACGTAGAAAGTATGATGCTGTAGGTTCAATCTACAGCCCTGCTCAGGAAAGGAAAAAAGGGCAGAGGGGCTGTAGAGGTAGGTTTTCTCTTTCGCAAACTACTGCCATCTGCAGGAGTATGCAGTCCTGGAAGCAGAAAGCCCAGTCCCTATACTGTGGCACCTTGGTTGTGGACACCTCTGCCGTCAGAACCTAGAAAGCATTAGTTCTTGTTATTATAACTGAATCTTAGGGATTCTGTTACAGAAGCACAAAAGGGACTAATACAGTCCAAAAACCAAACATTGTTCAATCTGTAGACCTGCTGATGTTAACCATTCTGCACCTGTCATTGAGGGTTGCAGTTGCCATGCAGACCCAGGAACCAAAAGCTGGTTGCAAAATACAATCCTTGAGCAGTTTAAATATAGTCAGAACTCAACAACAGAATGAGATTTCTCTAAAATTTTGTTGTTTTATTCATCACGGTTTATTCCCTAAGCTTTGATTAAAATACTATATTGATAGTCATTTATTCTACTGACTTTTTTGGTGCCTCCTTAAATTTTGCTCTCATGGTTGACAGTTTTGCTCACGTTACCCTCATCTGAGACTCTAGGTTAGACAGCTGGTAGATGACGATCCAGGACTTGCAGATAATGTTTTCCCTCAAAGGTTCTGCTGATAATGTTGCCCCAGATAGTCTCACAAAAGTGATAAGACCTCCCTTTGCTTTTTCAGCATGTAGTCTGTTTGAACATAGGAACAGAAAAAACCACAAAGATCAAAACCAAAAGAGAAATAAATGCATAATTCAACTATGTACACAAATCTGATGACATAATTATGACAAAGGAGTCACACTGAGTCCTGGCAAACTATTGCTAAATGCACCTTAGATCAAATCCTAAGATAATTCATCGAGGCTTTTCTATGTTTTGGTAGGATCAGAATTTTCAGTCCAGAACAGAGATATTGGTACTGTTTGATGTAGTGATTTTTTTCCTTCTCTCAGAGTGAGCTGTGTTTACCACAGTAGATGACAGGTGCTGGGTGTTAAAGATGGGTTTAAAAATGCTGTTAACTGTATTGATTGCTAATTCTTCATC